TATTCAAGTTTCTATAAAAGGTATGGATTTCCGCTTTTCTCGCCAACTTCAACCACATTCCGACCTCTCCTCCATCCTGAGGACGTACAACTACATGAGGATACCCATTCTTCAATAGTTCCTGCAGCAATTCATAATGATCCATCTCCCAGTCATCATCATCCTCCTGCGTATCATACCCGGGAGGAGGCGTCTCCGACCGAGAGCGAGGGGAAATCGACCTAGTTTGACCCCCATATCCCCATTTACTTGGGCCTCTTCCACGAGGACTATAACTTCGACTTCGACTTCGACTTCGACTTCGTCTCCTGCTCGACCAATATCTATCTCGACCATCTCGACTATCTTTCCACCTCTCTCTGTCTCGACTCGAACTCCTGTCTCTCCTCCGCATAGGTTCAACCATGAGCAACTCATCTCTCTCATCTCTCCCTCTCCCTCGAGACTGCTCCTTCCCCTTTTCGACTTCCAACGGTTTAACCTTTTCAGCCTCCTTCTTCTCGACCTCCTTCTCCTTTCCGGGCTCCTCCATAACCTTCTTTGCCTGCCTTTCCCTCTCTTCGTCTTTTGTCTTCGCATCCTGTCTTGCACGCAGTAGAGCAGCCGGTATCGCCCTCTTTCCTGGGGGCGCAGGTTTTTCGATCGACGCCATTCGTTCTGCTTGCGGTGTGGCCAGAAAAGGCGGTCTGAGAGGCTTCAGGGTGAGTTTCGAAGATAGTATAGATGGCGCCGGAGGTCCTGGTGTTGACGTGGGGATTCCGTTATTGCTAGGGACATTGCTGCTCACACTACCGTTCACTTGTGCAGGTGTCGATGGCGTCTGTTGGAAATGTCGAGGTGTCGAAGTTGAACTACCACCGATTGAAGGTGAAGGCGTCTCTACAAATGCTACCGGTCTGCTCGGTAACGGATGCTGCATAGGCCGTCCGTTGACAGCTTTAGGGGGAAGAGTCGGAGGTAGAGGTGGAGGATGTTGTGGTGTAGCTTTTCCTTGACTAGGGGTTGCAGCCTTTTCCGATAATCTTGAAGGCGTAGGCGTAGGCGGCGGTAAACTGTTACTTGTAGGAGTCAGAATCTCCCCTCTCTCCCTTCTTCTTCTTTCCTTCTTCCTGTCATCCAATACCTTAACCACAGCTTGCGTCCTCGATCCGTCTCCGTCAAAGATGACACTGATCTCTTCAGCGTCTCTGGACCGACCCAGCGAGCTTGTAGCACCGGAAGCACCCCAATTGTGATAACCGGCTCCCGCCCACGGTCTCCTCTTGCCGTCTTCCTTCTCCACGCATTTTCTGGCTTGTTCATGCGCCATATACCGGATTAAGACAACACCAAGAGGTCCGCCGTTTTCTTTGTCGATTTGAGGCTCAAAAGATATGATCGTGCCGTACGCAGAGAAGTGTTGTTTGACGACATCCTTCGGGGTCAAGAGTGCAATGTTGGTGACGAGAACACTTGTCGGAGGTTTTGGACCTGCAGAGTATTCGGCATTATACTGTCGGTTCGAATGAAATCCGGGAGCGATTCATCAGCAAGAATTCCAAGCGCATAGAGTAAGAAACAAGGGCAACAGACAAGCAGAAAGTTAAAGTCACCATCGAAATAAGTTGGAGAACAGAGGGACACGTCGTGTCATGGAAGGGAAGTAAAAGTGAAAAGACGATGAAAGTAGAACTCAAGGACATACCTCATACTTGATCTCGACAAACTTCTCCTTGCCTCTTCTAACCTCCCCTGACTTCCTCGGATCTTCCGGAACGGGTATCGGCTCTCGTATCCACCATCCTCTCTCGTCATTACCGCCGCCTCCTTCACTTCTCCTGACTTCCCCTTCCGTCACCCAACACCATGCACCATCCTCCAAAACCTCCCCATCATACCTTACAATAACCTCCTTCCCCAATCCTTTCACAGGACCATTACTCTGTATCCTCCGTTCCTTCTCCCGCTGACTAGAAAGATACGCTCGCTCTTCATGTGTTGGCTTACGTTGTCGAGTAGAAGAATATGGTATCGAGGCCGATGTCGAGATCTTTCCACCCCCCTCCGTCAGATCTACCATATCGATATCCTGCGGAGCCTCTCTCTCCTTCTCCTTCCCTTTCAAGCTCTGACTCCTCAACGCACCCATCAAAAGCTCAAAATAATCTCCCACAGGATCAATCTCCCACTTCGGACTCTCTCCATCCATCTTCTCCACCGTCCCACTCCGAACGTTCTCCTTCCACATAAAATCCTTATACGCTCTAACCTTCCCCGGTTCTGTTTTGGGATCTAAACCATTGAGCAAACTAGAATCGTAAATGATTCGATGAGACCGTGGGTTATCGGGTGAGTATGTATACGCTTCAGAGGGATAAGACTTCGAAGACGACGCGATGGGTTGGGGTTGTGCTTGTGAAGACGAAGATGACGAAGACGACTGTCCAACTTTAGACGTTGAGGCCACCGACAACGAAGATCCAGGTACACGACAAGGCGGCCAAATAGGCAAATCCCATTTTGGCGGAGGAGTCTTTGGTTTCGGAGCGGGCGGAGAAGGTTGGACTTCTTGAATCGTATGAGCTGAAAGAGGGGGAGCAGGAAGAGGAGAAGCTCTCCCCGACCTACTCGATGTTCCATATGCTCCTGCCCTTGAATCCGACCTCTCCCTCTCCCATTCCCGTTCTCTCCCTTTGTCTCTATCTCTGTCTCCCCTGTCTCGCTCACGGTCCCGATCCCGGTCGCGTTCCCCCCACTCACGATCTCTATCCTTGTCCCTGTCCCTGTCCCTGTCCCTTTCACGATAATCTCTGTCTCTGTCTCTTGCTCTGTCCCTGTCCCTGTCCCAATCTCTGTCACGTTCTTGTTCTCGTTCTCCTTTATCCCTGTCTCTGTCTCTCTCCCTGGTCCTTTCTCTGTCTCTATCCCAATCCCTCTCTCTTTCAAGAGACCCTGATGCGTGTGGAGGTGGTGGCGGAGAGGATGGGGGCTGAAAAAAGAGTTTCGTTTCAGAGGAAGAGGTACCGGACGAAGATGAAGGTCGGTTCAACGAAGACGTAGAGGTCGAAGCCTGAGGAAGAGGAGCGGCAGGTAACGATAATGAAACACCGAAATTAGAAGAAGGCGCAGTGTGTAATTGAACGGGTGGAGGACCAGCTGGTGCGCGTGTTGGTGTGGGAAGGGCTATTGAAATCGGTGCGGGTGCTGATGATTGGTCTAGAAGCATGCGTGGATGAATGAATTAGACAAAAGGATCTTCGAAATTCAAGAGAAAGAAAAGGCAAGAGATGACTAACTGGGTGTGGTGGTGAAAATTGAAGGTAACGGTGGTGGTGGTAAGTCTGGTGGACGAGGTGCTGATGAATCATTGTCATTCGGCGGAGGTGGTGGAGGTGGTGAATCCGGTTGAGGGGGAGCTGAATCCGGCGGAGGCGGTGGTGGCGGTAAGCTAGTAGGCTGAGGTGGTTCAATCGGTGGTTCAATCGGTGGTGGTGGTGGTGGTGGTTCACTTGTCGGAGGTGGTGGTGGAGGTTCAGAAACTGGCGGTGGGGGCGGTTTGGACGTTGGAGGTGCTGGTTTCTTTGCAGAAGCCATTGAAATAGAAATCGCGGCTCTTGCTGTCCCTGGAGCTATCAATCCCTAGATATGAAAGTTTTTTGTAAGTAAATTCGTTGGAAACGCGCGTAATAAGAAAAAAAAAGTTCACATTTGGCTGTTGCGGTTGCTGTTGCTGTTTTCCCGTATTCGGAGCTGGCCCTGAGCTTGACGGTCCCTACGAGCAAATGAGCCATTTTCTCGAAAGAAAAAAAGAGCTCTAGGACGTACGGTTGGCGTTGGAAGTGAAGGCTGTTGTTTTGTAGTACTCGGTCCAGGTCCAGGCGTTGCACCGTTCACGGGCTTCATCGGCGGATAACTACGGTGGGGAGGATGCCCATGTGAATGTCCGTTCATATAAGGCTTTCCTTTGGGACCACCGCCTCGAAAATGACCGTTCATGAGACTTCGAGGTCCTGTTGGAGGTGCAGCACCAATTCTGCTCGCCATCGTCAGGTTTGAGGATGAATGTTGCTGTTGTTGAGGACCAGACGGTGGAACACCGCCTGGCATCGATGCCAGCAACGCTCTAGGTCCCTTTGGCGGCGCCTTTCCCGACATTTTCTTCGATTTTTTATCTTCTCTTCCACCCTTCTCTTGTTAACTCTTCTGCTCTCTTTTTCGTCTCTTCTACCCTCTCTAGTACCCAGAATTATAAAAATAGTACCCAGAGGGTCTTAGAAGGGAATAGAATTTAGATGAAATTAAAGTAAAATGAGAAAGAAGAGGAAGGGAGAGCACATCAAGCAAGCGAGGGAGGAAAGATCAGTGACCGTGGGCGCGTGGCACAACGGCGAAACCAAACACAACAAACCTCAGGGTCTCCCTAATGGTGTGCTTGACTCACAACACCCATCTTCCCATGTTCCATTCTCGTCCTCCCTCAAAAAATACCTCACGTTTCTCGAAAACCCTGAACAAATCCGATAACCCATCGTTGCATGTCCTTCAACCGTCCTCAAATGTGGCCAGCGCCAAAACGTATAGAATGGGGTTACCACATGAACAATTGGAAAACTCCAGTTGTTGATGTTTATCTGCTGTGCAAGAACGACATTATCGTGGGGACTTTAGTGTCTGACATGAGGATGGTGATGGTAGAGGCATATCATCCAACGCTCCCTTGAGGTGTACATGTGGGTTCAAGGAAGACCACCCATTGGAAACGCAAAATTCTGCCGGTCAACACGCAATACGGCGGCTCATGCGATCCCCCATAAGCGAAAGGGCGATAGACGGATGGTTCGAAAGGGTGGCGACTGGGCGATCGCGAGAAGTTTATAACTGTGTCTCTAGCGAGCCTCGACTTCGACCGGGGCGTGTATGATATCCATGATTCAGCGTCACTTCCGTCCTCGATGTCCTTACTATAATTCGAACGCGAGGCATTTTAAGTGATATGGCAAAAGTTGGACAGAGCACGATAGAGCAGCATGGCGCAGTGGTAGCGCGCGGGGCCCATATTCCTTTACTTGTGGAACCCCGAGGTCACTTGATCGAAACAAGTTGCTGCTATTTTTCCATCTCATTTTTCGCCGCTCGTCACAACGAAATTTCGCCCTTCGTAGAAACTTTGATGCTCGAGGGCTCAGAAGGCTGCCACGAGTCCCGAGAAATTGTAGAGTTCGTACTGTGTAAAGAACTCAATGCTTACTCCGATTCTCCAGCTCATCTCATTCTTTTGATTCTTCCTATATACCTCCCTGATGCAAGGCCAGTCTGAGCGTCATCGGATTGACGAATGACAAGACTCTTGTTTTTAAATTGGTATCGGAATTGTTTCAACTTTCGCATTATCTTTGGGGCTCTGTACTTGGTGTACTGAGTAGCTGTAATTTGAGTTATTACGCCGTTACGCCACCGTCTTGACCAACATTATCAAATCGTTAGAAATTCAAAACCGACTGCTATAGAGGCACTGCGGAAAAAGGCTCCGAGAACTTTTACAGACTCCATTGGAGGTTCCTTACGTACGAGCTGTTTTTGATAGCCTTATCAGTAAATGTCAAAGCGCCCACATCACAGTAGATAGGATCAGGTGGGCCGTCCGCGTTGCGCGTGGCTTTCCTCACCTTTGTGACCTCCTTCAACGACAGGAATCATGAAATGGGGGGCACTCGCAGCTGTCGTGCTCGAGATCGCAAGCGTCCTGCAACCAAAAGTTCAAGCAAAACGTGAGTATCAATGTCATGGAGAATCTGGGTCATGAGTACTGAGTATCGGTCGTAGTTGCTCCTAAAACATTCGAACCGCTTCCTTTGGGAGCAATTTACCCTACAGGATGGTTATATGATCAAGTTGAGCTTTTCAAACTCATAGGAGGGGGAATTAACGCGCAATCATCACATTTGGCAAACAGCTCAAAATTCAAACTGATGGCTTAGCTGGACATATGCATGAATTCTACCCTCTGTGTGTTCATTCATGCTTTCATATAAAGCGAAAGTTGACCGATTCTCTCACAGAGTTGCGAACACGGACTGGACTGGGGGTGACTCGTACTATTCATATTTAGAAGAAGGTTCGCATCTTTAGTGTCACGGTGGATTTAACGACTAACGTTGACCGCGTTGATCGCAGCGGGGAGTTATTGGTTCGTGAGTGTCATTCCGATATTTCCTGTGAATCTATCAAGAATTCGTGTTCAGAACGCGATGGTGCCGAACGGCGTTCTCATGGGTCATACAGTCATTAACCAAAAGACAAGAGAATTCCTCGATTACGTTCTCGACAACCAAGATTCCACAGGATGGTTAGGACCAGAAGTGGGGACGGAAAAACCCCGTTATTTGTGGGGAAGGTTGCTAGCATCTTATTCTCAATCACTATTCACACATAAATCTGACTCACCACTTCAGATACCCGTTCTTCTTCGGCGCCATTCAAATGGTAGAACATCAACCCGAACTAACTGACCGTGTAGTCAGCGCCCTACATAAATTCGTCAAACTGGCGAACACGATGCTGAGGAATGGAGAAGGAGTTGATAAGTGGGCCGAAACGAGATGGGAAGATTTCGTGGTCACTTTACAATGGTGTGTCAACCGTTTTTCGTCCTCTCGGTCTTACGTGCTGAATTTTGCTTAACTCTAAGGCTATTCGATAAACACCCAAGAGGTCAGGAAGAATTGCTCGTTGATACCATGAGAAGGTTGAAGTGGAGTGGTACTCCTTGGGAGAAGGTTTTCTCACAAAATGTCAGTTATTATTTCATCCGAATAAACCTCTCTCTGATGCGCTCGGACTGGCAGCTCTTTCCGAAGGGGCCAGGCGAGTTTGCTCCTAGTTCAAGGCCGGCCGAAATCTCACTGCCTTAGTAGTTGAGGATATTCCAAATCCGTTCGGAAAAGACCTATACGTGCGTCTACACGAAATCCGAAACTTTGGACACTCTTCAGCCCTTCTTTGGTTCTAGTGGCATGGAGTGAATATGGCAGAAGGACTCAAGGCACTACCTGCCACTTACAGGTTCACACTCAACATATCAGGTCGGATGCCATTCCCCTACACTATGCCTCATCTGATATTCCTTCGTAGACCTCGAAGCCGCAAGTTTAAGCTGGGATCTCTTATTCAAATACCATGGACGACCATCAGGCGCTTTTGGAGCCGATGAATTATTGTCTGGATTGGAAGCCAATCGTGGGTAAGTATCATGCATCTGCACGGTAAACCGGATATTGACCTCAACCCCGTTCAGTTCCGAGTTGTGTCTCGTAGTTGTAAAGTTAACTTGTGTGACACCCATCTGATAGCGAAAACTGAAGGTTCTGTTTTTGCATAGGAGACCATGTTCTCGTAAGCCCGCGGGAACGACTTATCCAATTTCATAGTCCTCTTACACGCTCTTCACAGGGGATCATACCTCTATCAGGTCATAGGCGATTTGAAGTTTGCTGATCGAGTCGAACGAATGACTTACAATGCTTTACCAGCAACTATAACTTCCAGTACGCACTGTCGCGTTCGATGGGTAGTTTAGTAACTGACGTTTTCTAGACATGTGGGGAAGACAGTATCTACAACAACAAAACCAAGTTGCAGCGAAGAACATGACCCCGTAAGCGTTCTTTCAAGTTCTTCTCACGGGATTCTGATTGGATCTACTTACTGGAACTCAGGAATCCGTTCCCGGAAGATGGGCAAGTCTGCTTTCCCCAAATTTCGAGTGCAAGTACCTAAAGATTGCAACTTGTAGCCCCGAATCCAACATTTTCGGTCTTGAGCCCAATTATCCGTACGGTCCCATGAATCTGCCCTTTCCTTTTGTTGGCTCTTATACTTTTGCGACACCAGTTGTTGTACAGTGAACTTCCCTCAAGGATGGCCTAAGTTTATTACAAACGCGTTCCTCGTTACCCCCGACAACGAATCTCTCATACATCTATACTTGGGGCCGTTCAGTACTCGGATAATATTGGCGGATGGTTAGTTTCGTTATCTGGCTCTCAAGAAACTTAAACTCATGTTTTTTTAGACAATGCCGTTTCAGTATCCGTGGAAACCCTCTACCCATTCGGCGATGTCCTGAATTACGAGATTTACGCAGAGAAAGACTTGACCTTTTACATTCGAATTCCAAGTTGGGTATCTGGAGGTTCGTTATCGGTGAACAATGGTGCGAAGCAAGAGCTTTCGCCGAACGAGAATGGGCTGCAGGAGGTTAAGTTGAAGAAGGGGAAATCGAGTTTGGTATTGGAGGTTCCTGCTGAGATTACTGTTGGTATGTACCCTGTCTATCTTCCTGCCCGTTTTGCGCGATCTTATACGCTTGCATGGGTCCAAGAATCTCGACCGCATGGATCTGTTGCCATTCATCGAGGTCCTCTAAATTACGCACTTGATAGTACGTTTCCATTTTCCGATCTCACTCCTTCCTCCCCTAATCCCCCACATTGTTTCTAGTTACACACACCGAGAAAGTTCTCAAAGTCGATCCACACGAACCGCACGCTGTCGATTTGGAATATGATCCGATTGGAACTTGGGAATATGCTATTGATCCTACTCAATTAACATTCCACTATGATCCTCCTGTGGACGACGTACTCCCATCTCCGATTTTTGATTCTGGAAAGGCCCCGGGGGTGATTCGTGCTATTGCCTGTCGTATCGAGTGGCCTTTGGGAGGGGATATGTTTGCGGCTCATCCTCCGGAGAATCCGGGTTGTGTTGGGGAGAATGTGAGGATCTGGCTGGAGCCGTTTGGGGTGGGTGTAATTTCTGCGTTTCCCTTCTTGTGAGTATGGTGGCTGACTATTCTTCTATTTTGTGTGTAGGCGACGAAGTTGAGGATTAGTGAGTTTCCGGTGTATGATGCTATGAAGAATGCGAGGAGGACCAAATTGGGTTCGGGTTTGGAGGCACAGGTCCCGTTGGTAGTTCGGGGAATTGGGGGTTGAAATGGCTAAGCTAGGTATTTTTACGTTTGCATATTGTGGTGATGGAGGTACTACGATCGACGCATAAACGCTGTTGAATGCTGGGCCTGCGGCCTGATGGCAGTGAGTTAAACTTACCATCCTGGTTTAGATACCACGTGACAAGTTTAATTAGATGCCTAAACCTTCCCACGCTACCCAAGTCCCACATAAACCTCCGCTCAAGAAGTGTTCCCTTTTTACTCTTTGCCACAGCCGGACTGACAACAGACACAATGGAAACCTACTTTACACCGCCAATACCGCTCGGAGAATCGCCCGCTTCTGGCGTGCTGTAAATTGATTTTAAATTCAACCTGCCACCACTCGTCCTCGGGCTCATCATACATACACTTGCAGAAAGGTCCAGGCCAAGTTTAGGCGCTTTGTAGTCAATCATCTTTTCAGATCTATCGAATCGCACACCTACATCAATCGAATTGAGGAAGGCACTTATTTTTTAATTATATCATTTCAGCCTCCATCGACGCCCCGAGGTAAGTTGTCGCTGTCGTTACCTCCGCCCCTAATACGTAGAATGAATCCCCATGTCGCAGTCAGAAGGAGGGCCCGGGATATTCTATGGGAGGACTTCAATCTAGGGTGATGAAGGCAACGCGATTTTCAGGTACGACGAACACGATATCAGACCCGCCATGTACCTCAGACTTCTGATGCCTCAGTCCTTCGACAAGCTTACGCCAAATGAAAAATAACATATCTATAGGCACGTAAGTTCGGAGAACAAAGCTTATCCTTCAGACCTTGTACGACGCCGATGTTGACACTGGCATTGCTGTTTGATAGGCACAGAGGTGTTGCATAACCCACGGAATTACGGAGGTCACTTTGGTTCACTGACTAGACTGCGACATGTCTGTTCTTTGTCTATTCTCTTTCCGGACGATATCCTTTCCAGAAACGTCAAGAATGAGTGCCTGGTCTTTCCTCTCGAACAGGGACGGTGTGTGCAACGTATGTTGGTCCAATTTATCTCGAGCGCTCGGCCCGCACTCATCGATGTCCTCCGTTGGCGTCTAATTCTTGCCTCCTCTATAAAGTGACTGTTCTTTTCCTGTCGTAACTTGACGCTGT